ATGTCTATTCTTTCGAAAAGTAATAAACGATTGCTTCAGCTTTCTTTCCTGTGAATCAATACTCTTGCAGGGTACTATTCATCCTACTGATGAAGTTCTACTATGAAGCACCTGATAATTAAATGGAGCTTGGAAATTCTCTATTAGTTAATCTCATCTTGATATTAATCCGCTTTCTAATGTTTTGATACTTTGGAATCATCAGCAATGACACAGATACAAAGTGACATAGTTTCACTTCAAATTGCAGATGAATACCTCCAAGAGCGGATCTTGATTATAGTACTACTAACTAACAAAAGATTCTTGACACCTGGAACTAAAATAGGTTGAATTAAATTGTTATGTTACTTGTTTGGCAACAAACGGTTTTGCAATTTCCAGTATTTCAGATACTCAGCAAATTTATGTCTAAAAATACTATATGCTTATCCGTGTCCTCTTGTACAATACGGGATTGATTCTGTTCAACAAACATTCAAAAATAAAAATTCAGGGTAGTTCTGACGGCTTAACACCTGTAGGGTATCTATGAGTCACCTGACTTTGCTAGTTTAAGTTAATCAAGTACAGGTTCGCAGGATTTTACCAATAACTGGGAGCACTGGATAGCTGTTTCATCCTAGGCTAGGACTCCCCATCGGTGCACGCCCACTGAAGTTCGAAAGCAGAACCCTCCTGTTACAAGCCAAGCTAGCTCGTAGACCATTAAGTCACTGGGACCCAATCCAATGGCCAGTGCATGAATTCCAACCAATGTCAGCTCACGATGAAATCCTGAGGTATGGGTTATGTTTTTAAATGCCTTCACCTTGTCATGTAGTCCAGCATTCTTTTCCTGGCTATCAGTGTGACTGTATCGGTTTCAAGGAGTCATTATATCCACCGTAAAATTTTTTAGATAAAGTTACTGATCATTAAATATGACTCAAAATACATGACAGAAAAAAGGTCATCTCTCCGCGAATGCCATTCAGATGAGATCGCTTTCTTTGATAATAAATAATTTCTCCTAACAACCAATAAATATGCCACTGGAACAGGAAGTGAACTGTGCTAGAGAGGGACACAACAGCCTAATGTCATTTACCTGCGCAATCAAATTCTCCAGCCTACTAAATTATTTCGAACACCACTTAGTACTAGACGGATAATCAGCTAGTACATAGAGCAAATTATACTTTAGCATACACTGAATCCTACTGACATATACTAACTGTATTGGGCAAAAATTTCGAATAGTGACGATATTACATTGATTTATATTCAGAAATTCCTACCATTAAAATGAAAGAAAAAGTATCTGATGACTAGTCCAACCTACTGTAAGCAGATTATTCTGGGTTTTTTTTAAAACAACTAAAACTGACATTTAGAAAGTGTTGACAGTCGATATGTACGTTTATGCCTAACCATTTTTACACGAATGTTTTAATTAACCGGTTAAAATATTTGGCGCCTACATTTTTTTTGGTTTCACCATTAAAGTAAAATATTTTAGTCAGGGAATAATTTCATTACATTTTTGAATAAATTATCTGTCAGAATATCTCTTTTTATTGACGATTTCATCTATAGATTGAGGAATATTCATTTAGAGACTTAACAACATTACGGTCCGGTATAATCAGTCAGTTCAAAATGGCTACAGTGAATACTAACTGATATTTGTTGCACAAGAGGTGGTTGTCGCGGCTCAGTGGCCTGCATGGCAATGCTTTGGCACCTGAAACAAGTTATGCTAGGTTTGAGTCTCATTGGAAACAAAATCAGAAGTGCCATAGACCCCACCGCTGTCCACTACCAGCCATGAAACAACATTCATTAATTCTCAGGCGTTAGCTTGTATGGATTCGATTTGCATCAAGTTCGGACACGGATTGATATCAGCCAGGGAACCACTGGACAGTTGTTTCGTCCAGCAGTCTGCACCTACCACCCCAACAGCGATCAAACCTGGGGATTTGGATTTACGAGTCTAAGGTCATTGATCATACAGCCAAATGGACTCCTGATTCCCGACTCCTATTAATTTATGATTTTAGCGTGTAGGCTACTTAACATCGGCAACCAGTAGCTGCTCTCACACCCGACTTGATGGATCCCACTAATCATGAATTCTTGCTAGAACTCGAGTCAACTTCATCCTGTAGCCAAGCACCAGCGTGCATCAGATTGATTTTCAAGAGTTTGACATGTAGGGATTTGATTTGTTTCAAGTTTGACCACAGATTGGTACCAGTTAGGGAACTACTGAAAACCAGAGTGTGTTGAACAGCTATTTTATTCTATTTCTAGCCCGAGTGACATCACAGGTGTCTACTGCTTAAGTTCAGCAATTCAGTGAGGCATCTGTCAAAATCTCCCTCGTTTTCGCTGGTTCTCTGACTGAAGCCAGTTCATGACCTAACATTAACTAAGTTCATTTATTTTTACCATTCAGTATGGTAGAAGACTGAGCTAATGATAAGAACTGCATATGAACATATTTATAGGTTACTTAAACACACCCATAAATTTATCTAAATTTTGAAAGAAATCATTTTAATGAATTTAGATAACTTAAGTTTTCTCAATGGATAGGTACTTTTGCGCGGACAGCTCGTTCCATTAGATGTCCACATAGCTTTTATTCACATATCTGCGACTATATGAATATTATGGTGTTGTGGTTGAGTAATTAATGGTAAAAATCTGTTTAATATGGAAATTAAATTCATAACACACTTAATGATATTTTATAAAAACGAAACTACTGTCTGTGGTTCTTAGAGAGTTCCTGATAATTTTTAAATAACAGCTACAACTATTTGGCGGAGGAGGCAGGCAACGATGACAGAACTTCAAGTTAGCAAAGAGAAGATAGAAGCGATTAAGATAACTAACTAATAGCAACAAGCACCAATCACCACCAACGGGAGAAATTTGAAGGGAGTCATCTGTAGGCAGCATCGCTTCAACTACGGGCTGAACGAATGTGAATATCAAAGCCAGGATTGGAAAAGCAAGCAGTGCGAAGATCTCTTGCCTACAACATAAGCAAGAAGATTCGGATTTTCAACACTCATATCCAGTAAATGCTTCTACATGGTTCTGTGAATTGATGAATCACGAAAACGCTGAACAGACCATTGAGTGACATACTCATCAAGCATTTAAGTGGAACCCGTAAGAGGATCAATAAGTTGGAGGTGATGTGAGGAGGAAATAAAATCTGATGGACAATTGTGCAGCCATCTAGAAAGGACTGTGGAGAACAAGGTAAAATGAAGATATAGTGACGAAGTTCTGTGTTCCATTTGGAACTTACAAGAATAACAGAACATATAATAATATAATAATTAACCCACCTAGTGTCCTCATTGAAAGGTTATCAAACTAACTGTTACTCAAATAAGGTATTTTTACCTCTGTTATCACATCAAACATGAAAACTCTAGGCCTAAAATACACATAAATCTCTTGTCGTGCGGCTGATTGGCCTACTTGATTTGATTGATTTGCAAGTGGTGGCCCTTTACCTGTATTCGGGAATTATGGATTAATGAATGTGTTTTTCGATAATGAGTTTCAACTTATCTCTATGACTGTTTAATCGAATCTCCATCTTAGGTTAGTCAAATTAAAAAAAAAGGTGCTCACTAGCTATTTACTTGTACTTTTGAAAATTCCCCTATGGTATATGCAGAATAGAATCGATCAGAAACATTCACTTCAGCATTTTAGCTGATTGAATACCAGCCAAGTGATAAATAACATAACTGCAAACTTACAGTTTTTCAAATCATATTATGGTTTACATGGCTAACCCCTACCAATTAACATTCTCGTTAATGTTGTATGTCTTACACACGCAGTTTACTGCCACTATATTGCATCAAGGTCACTTGGATTAAGGTTATTTTCAGCCCTAGGAAAGATCTACACACAACTTAAGGTCATTAATGACTATTGAATAAAGATGTTAACTTTTTACACAGGTTTTAAAAAATAGAAATGGGAGTGAGGTTGGGGAATGATGTTTCTTAAAATGACATTAATCATGCTACACAGTGTGACAGCGTTGTTGAATGAAGCTTTTAAAAAAAACAGATGACAAAAATAACCGGTTTACAAGGCGAAAAAACAACAACAACTAAGCATTATTGGTTCATAGTTGGTTTAGTATTCGACAGGACACAGTTTTAAAAAACCCGCCAATTCATTTCAGTTTCTTTCTTATTTCAGTTTGTGTTCCGACTTGTATACCCGATAATTTCTTTGACAAACTATACAGAAGCATAGAAAATCACCTTATGAGGAGATTTAAGACAAGAAAATAATAAATATTTATGCGGGTTTACAATATTTCTTTTATTTTTCTGTTTGCAAAATATTTCTTCACTAGTATTATTAATCCACACAGGAGTGGTCGAATTTATTATTCGACATCACACAGAAATATTAATTGTACAGTTCAAACATACAATTGGTGCCGTATAGAAATGTGCACATAATAGCACATTCACGTGTATATATGCACACATATGCGTGCATATATATATTATATATATATATATATAATATATATATATATATATATATATATATATATATATATATATAAACGGCTACTGTCGTACACTTTTATTTGTACTATGATGAAATTTACTCACTAGCAGGATTACTCCGTTTATGATTTTCTTCTAATGAATGAAAAGCCTGGTTTTCAGTAATACAACTATGCTGACTCCTTCAAACTGTTATTTTCGTAATAAATCTCTTTCATTGTCATTCGCTCTGATTTCGTGAAACATTGGTTGTATAATACACGGAGAATTATCTAATATGCTTTAACGTTTCGTATATATACATGCATGCATACAGCAAATTAGGAATGAATGGAGTTAATTGTAAGACTTTGAATAAAAATGGAGTCTAATTACCCAGCTAATACATTACCCTGACTATTATCCTTCTCGTAGAAGCAATTGTCTTCTCAAGTAACGATTAACTTCAATATGAAATGTAATCATACACACAATGTATATAGTATATATAATACCGTTATATTAATCAACTTTTGTTTTATGAAATTATTCTATGCTAATCACATTTCATCTGGAATTAACAACATTGATGATAAACACAGCAGTGCTGGTGATGATGATCATGATAGTGATAATTTTCAAAATTCACTGCTGCAAACATTGAAACCTGAACAATTGAAAGTTGTTAAAGCTGGTGAGAAGGATGCAATCAGTAGACTTTATGGTAAGTTCGGGCAATGAATGTTTACAAACTTTTTAATAGATATTCCCTATGAGATTCAGTATGACATATTAGAAAGTGGTTAGCAAGACCTTATAAATGTGTGCGTCGGTGGTTCGTTAGTAGAGTTCTGTCTGACCGTGCATTTGGTCCTGGGTTCGAGTGCCAGCCGGCTCACACCTTTACCTCCCTTAAAGTAGTTTTAATCCCGACAAAGAGGGGAGGTTGGGCATGAGACTAGGGACCCCACTCCATAAACTAAGCACCACTACTATTCGAACTTCAAAGCTAAAGCTTAAAGTCCAATGTTCCACTGGGAACGCAAAGGAATAAAAAAGGGACCTTATAAAATAAACCAGATTTCCGATGCTCTTCCGGTGCTCAAACGGTTAAAGCAAAAAACTTTTAAATTATAAAGCACACCTACTAACTTGTCCGCATAGAAACAGAGGCTTGTTTATCAGTGGGGAAATATTGCTTGTCATACTTCATAATAATTATATGCAGTGAAAGTATTTAAAATTTTATCCGAAAAGCAAGGCTTCCATAACATAAAAACTAAATATAGTCGGATTATTCTATCCACTGGTAAAAACGCCGAAGAAAACAGTCAGTGTTTCTATAAACATTTTAACTTGTGAATTTATTGGATAACGCAATACTTCCTAGTTGTTAGATCCTACCAGTGTAATGGGATGAAAGTACTACTCAATTAAATTTATCCCTATTTCTTTCCGGTAAGTTGAAAAGTCGGATACCTTTAAGTGGCAAACAAACGTGTAAAGTCCAGTGTTAAAAATTACCTCCCAGATGTTCTGTCGGTAATCAAATCGGTTTGAATTAAAAATTAAACGAACACAAAGTTTACTTATGAACTCCAGATTTTAAAATTTTAATGTTCGCCTGTTGATTACGTAAATGTAGGGAAAAAATTTCTAAACAAAGGCCGACTTCATGGTAAAAATGAATTAGTTATCTTACAATATTAAACATTCTGACTTTTGTCTGCATGGATACACGTACAACATTATTTATTATGAAAAACCTTTAAAGGTCAGTCAATTCCTTTTGTTTGACTAAGATTGATGGAGTTTTTTTTGTTAAGCATAATGTCCACTTGTGAAACTTAGAGACAGAGATCATATATTCATTTGCAATTCAAATTGTGGACATAAATTTTGTCTGTCGGTTAGTTAGTTAGTTAGCATATTCATATGACGGTGTTATGTAATGTGATCTTGGAGAGAGATAAACGGAGAGGGAGACAGCATTAAAGAAGAAAGCAGTGCTATCTGAACTGATTTCTTCCTCTTCCGATTTTACCATCCAATTTGTATTTTCGTCCATTTTGAATAGTGTACAGAAAGTGTTGTCTTTTTTAAGCCCTTTTTCAAATAATGAAATATATCAAATGATTCATGAATAAGATTTAGTTCAGCGAAGAATATGTCTTTCATCACTAACACTGTTGTCAGATTGTACAGTCATATTTAGATGTAGTAAAATTACATCTAATTACACTGGAGCAGCCTAGTCATTATACTATAATAAAAAAGAAGTTGAAGGGGTTCCAGGTGTAAGGTTAAAGTGGATGACATAAAAGAAGGACTACTGAAGAAACAAACTGATCTGTGAAAATATAATTTTACCCCTCTCATTGATTGACAGGACAGAAGTGTTCAGCTTCTGTTGACATTTTTGGCTACTTGTGAGGATGTTTTGATGATGTTTGAGGATTTAACTTGAAGTAATTTAGTGGAAGGTCCAAACATTCAACGGGAAAACCAAATCTGAATTACATAACAACTGACATGCGTTGCACAAGAGGCTACTTTCGTGGTTCAAATGGTCTACTGGATAACACCTTGGCGTTTGAAACGACGGATACTGGGTTCGGGCCTCAGTGGGAATAGCATCACTAATTGAAAATGCGGGTGCATCTGGATGGCGAGTCCGAAATAGGACGAAATGAGCATTCTGCATTCTACTGCTGATCATGATCCACCGAATTATTACCTAACTTGGTTGATGAAGGGAGAATGTAGGATGATAGCATAAATAATTTGTTGACATCTTATAAATTAAAGTCGTCCAGCTGTTTGTGATTCATACTGTAGAGTAATTTTTAGATCTTAGTTCGTCACTTACGTATAAATTATTGCACCAGCTATTTACAAACAGAATCTAGACTTTGTATTCAAAAGTCAATAACGGACAACAAAATTGGACTACTGACGTCTTTCAGACAACCTTCAAATTGTATACAATGATTAATACAGTACCATTATTCGGTGTACATTTACAAATGTATTAGATATTGTAAGTAAACAGATAGTGGTCAGTAACTCAAAAATTAATATAAAGTAACCTTAATCAAATTTCTTCTCTGAAAAAAAATATGTGCACATTTTTTTTGTTACATTCCAAACTTGAAACAATTTATGATAAACAAATATTCATATTATTTGACTAAACATTCATAATTAGTTAATTATTAATTCATGTTATTGATATTGTTAATATTATTATTATAAGAGAATAATTCGAATGGCCAAGGTCAAATTTAATCGGTAAAAGTTAATTCTGGCGGTTATTATTGACAATTGAACACTAATTGTTCACGGTTTATTTAATGTTAAGAAAAGTGTGATAAGTTTACATGAAGTACACATTACATTTAGAAAAACATATTTTAAACTAAGAAAACAATGTTTTATCTATTCAATGTTATTTCTTGAAAGAAATTCAAGTGTCTTATTATCACTCAGCTTATGTTATGCATAAAATGTATCAGTCCTGTTAAGTTGGTGAACTTATGGCTGAAGTGACAGTGGTATGAGTATTTCAATGTAACGATCAGATGTACACACGATAGTGAACTATAACTTGCAGATCATTTCACTATTCTGTAGTATTCACCATGATGAAGCATTTGATCTTAGTCTTCTATAAGTGGAAAACTTGCTGTGATTATTCTGGAGGAGGTTGGTTCCCATGTGCTTGGTGAAATCATGACTGCCACTTTTTTGGCATGTGTTCATGTTTTCCTTCGGACGAGAAACCTAACAGAAGGCACTTATTTCGCCTATCTGGACAACATCGTTTCAGCTATAGACAGAATAAATGAGGATATCAAAGCCGGCGAGGACAGTAAACCTCCAGTGTGGAAATCTACTGAACTCAGAATGGAGAATCAGATTCGGATTTTCAATATTAGTGTCAAGTCAGTTCTTCTATACGGCTTAGAGAGTTGGCGCTAGCATCAATAAAACTATTTACAGCAGACTGGAGGCTCTTATCAGCGTCTGTATTTGGTCCATACTGCAAATCAGGTGGTCTGCCTGAAAGGATTGGTAACAAGGAACTCTGGGAGGTAACGAACCGACCAATAACCTGTCGCTAAACAAACATGTAGGAAGAAATAGAAATGGATTGTACACACAGTGGGGAGACTACTGAGTGATATTACGCTCTAAGCAGCTCCTCGAGTGGAACACAAGGGGAAAGCGAAGAGCTGAGTGGCATGGAGGAGGTCATCTGATAAGGAAATCAGGGTTGGTGGATAGTCATATAGCCAGCTTAAAAAGGCACCAGAAAACTGAGTAAAATTGTGATGTGTTGCTGAAACCTTATTTTTTACTCGGAACTCAAGGAAATAATTATACTATAATAACAAATGCATGAGAGATCAAGTGGTGCATATTCAGTGTTCATATATAATGAGCCTACGTCTTGACAGTAAATTTGAATAACAATCAGGATAATCTAGGGTTATTATATATTATCATTCCCTGTGGCCTGAAGAGGAAAGCAGAGCTTCAAAACTACATCTCCACTTTTTCCTGTCCTTTACAGTCCTCTTCAGATGGTCTCACGATTGTTTATATTCTCGCATCTCCTCTTCACAATATCTGCTTCATGTCTCCCTCGAATCAACACCCAAATCGCTATTTCCCATTCAGGTTCCACTCGGACGGGCGGCCTGGTGCGCGACGTCAACAGACCACCTCCTCAGTGTATCCATATTTGTTGAGCAATAGGTACTTGGTTGATTTGTCCCCAGAATTCACTGTTGCTAATGCTTTCTGGCCGGTCATCTGATCTTGAGTATAGAGCTAGCGAAAGATGCTGTTGATAAAAGTTTGCGCTGGCTTGTTGGAATTGCTTTTCATGATGCGCCAAGTTTCTGAACATAAAGAAAAACTGGCTGACTTAACATTAGTGTTAAAAATCCTGATTTTGTTCCTTGTGCTGAGTGGGGTATGTTTTCAAACTGATTTCAGAGTGGTGAAGGTCCCTCTTACCTTTCCGATCCTCGTTTTGACATCCTCCTCGTGCCTCCTCTGTTTGACCCTTGTCTTATAATCACTATTTCTTCCAAAAAGCATCGATGAGCATGAAGATGTAGCCATTTTCTCTACCATTACACTTGATAAGTGTTCACATTACATCATCTGAAGCAATTAATTAACTGATTGTTTATTTAGTATATTTTTAACTTGCAAACTTGTATATTGGTGTGACAGTTATATAATGGGAACTGAAATAAATGTGATATTAACAAGATGACTGATGTCAGTAAATTCACTAATCACTAAAGACTCTTTCCGCCTCTGGTTTTATTTAGATTCATTGGAAATTTATTTTCTGTTGATTGAAATTATTTACTGCTTCCTTTTTAGAATTTTCCAACAATTAGTACCTGGTCTTCTGCGTTGGTGGTATAGCGGTTAGGACTCTCGTTGACCATGCACATGGTCCGGGGTTCGATCCCCGGCCGCCGACGCACTCCTCTACCTCGCTAAGCCAGAAATAATGCTGGTAAAGAGGAAAGGTTGAGCATGAGGCTAGCAACCCCATCCTGTAAAATAAACGCTGCTACAGAAACTTCAAGCCACTAGCTTGAAGCCCTATGTTCCACTGAGGAACGTGAAGGAAAAAAATGCCAAATCTAAATACTATACAATAAACTTGGTTTCATTAAGCGTTTTCTTTGCTATTTG